GACTCGAGATCAGAGAAAGACTGCTCATATTTATACAAAAGACACGGTCTGCCGGCGTGATGACAGAATTTATCTGCGGACAGGTTTCAAGCATCTCCGCAACCTGTTTGCTTCATACGAACATGTCCGCATACAGTTCTTGTATGAACAATGTCTGCCTCACAGAGGACCGTCATACAGGGAATGCCTTAGACAGTCCTTTTGTAATTAACAGTGTCTCTGCGGCTTTAGGATTTCCGTGCATCAAGAGTGGACGCGAGGCAGCGTTGTCGTTCTTTTGAATGAACAGTCGCGTCCAGTGACGGCATCTCCGTATATCAGCGGACGTCGGGAGAAAGTGCGGCCTTAATTATTTTCGAAGGGCGAACGCCAAGCTCGTTTCTCCATGCAAACACACCTCGACAGCGACGCGCACCTGAGCGCAGTCGGAAAGAACCCTCCTCGGTGGTCAGCCGAGCGCACCGACGACGGACGGTTGCCCGCTACAGTCGGCCAGTGAGTCACCCACCACACGCTGCGTCCGTTCACCGATCCGTGGGACGCGGCACTCGAGTGTATCTCCTCCGTCTTTTTTCGGCTACGACGCCGCGCGCGACTCCGATCTTCGGGCTCCCCGCGGAACCACTGGTTCGTGTCCAGCTGCTACCTCGCTCGGGGAAGGATGCAGTGTCTGGAGCGAGTCAGTGGACCCTCGAGAGAAGCGTGGCTCTCGGCCAGGGGGTATACCGTAGCGTCCAAGAGACGCGGCCAAAAGTCAGGTGCTGATTTAATGTTGACGTGAAGCGGCGTCTCGGCGTCCCGTCATGTACGATGTACGGGCGTAAACCAGCTTTTTTTCTGTTAGCGTCCCTCCATGTCCAATCATGGGACACGAAAGACGGTTATACTCCGACGTCGGGCGTAGCAAACGCGGAGTAGCGCAGATCACTCAGATACTGATTGGTCGCAGATATCAAGTTTCCGCTCGCTGGTCAATGAAACGCGCGCGTTCTGCGCTACGCCGCGTTCGATGTGCTCAATAGGGCATTGTAGTAGACCGTTTCTTCTCCTCCGGTACGGTATCCGTGAGCAAAACGCCGCAGCTGCGCATGCGCGCCGCCAGCCTTGTCTGCATAGTTCAAGGTCTTGTGGCGGATAACGGAGCGCTATCCGGGTGCTTAGCGGGCTGCGGAAACGGTCGACTACAATCCCCAATGTCGGAGTATAACAGAGCCTGAACTGAACGTTTGAAAGGACGCCACGCGACGCAGCGCATAAACGCGACATAAGAATATTCGATTCTGCTCGCCAGGGGCGCCTCTCGAAACTTGTGAACTATAGTGGGGCTATGCAAGACGGCGGAACGAAGGGCGCCCTCGCCGCGCCGCTGACATATCGCAGGTCTACACCACCTAGAAGACAAGGCCTGCGCATAACGTCATCGTTGGTGGACCCCCGTCTCACTCCAAGTGGAAAACACGCCGAAACTCGACCAAAGTCGTCGCAAAGTGTCAGACGCGTCCGTCTTGACTTTTACCGCGCTCGTGGTGAGTCGTGGTGAGACGCTGTGAGGCGCGCTGGCGTTGTCTTTGAGGTTGAAAGGCAAACTACGCTCTGATTTTTCTCAGGTTTGGAGCGAGTGAAGAGGCGAGGCTTTGGCGCTGCCTCGAAGCCTTGGCAGAACTTGACTCTGCCGCGCAGAGTTCAGAAAGCAGGTCAACGCGCAGATCTGGGCCACCCGAGAGCGTCTGAGGCAAGCTGAATGACGTTGATGGCATCAGTTATATCTTCATGAATGGGATGCTATGTGATCGAGCTGGACTTCGACCAATCACATGCACCGGTTCACTTTTTTTCCTTCCTTTTCTGCCCAGTCATAATTAACTCTTTTCTAACTTAAAAAAAAAAAAAGAAGGGAAGGGGGGGGTCTAGTGATGCAAGCTCTAGAGTCCTCATCTTTGCTTTCCCACACGTGGAGCCCTAGACTGGTCGAACACGAAGTTGGGACCCAGGTTTCCGGAGCTTGCCAACTGGACTGTCGCGTCGGCGTCGCCACGCCTTTGTCGCCCAAGTCCACAATGCGCTCTCCACGAATTTCCGGCTCCAACTCCGCGTTTGACGAGACCGGGGCCCCCGTGTGATTTGTATCAGCAGCAAAATTTCGCGAAAACTTACACAACACTATCTTTCCTTTCGCAGTCTCTCTTTCTCTTTCAACGGATCGTCTGGTTAGTTAGCAGCATAATTAAAGCTGGAGTATACGAGTGAACGTAAATGGGAACCAAGAAAAACAAACACAAAAACACTTGCATCCGAAACTTCTCGCCGTTGCGCACGACTCACCGCTCCGGAAACCGGTCCGGCAGCGCAAAGTGCGGGCGCGCGCGAACTCGTAGTAAACTTGGCCGGGCTCGCGCGGCACGCGCCCGCTCTGCATTTGGCGCGCTCCTTCCTACCTGCCGCACACCGACAGGCAGCAGCCGTGCACAGCGGCGGTGGGTGACCCGCCGGTCGGCCCTCTCTCCGGCCAACGGCCGCCCAGATAGGGGACAGGCGACGCCCGCCTGCGTCGGCCGGGCCTCGCGGAGAAAGTTGATAGACTTTTCTTGATGCGGTTTCTACCTTCCCGGTCCGAACCGAGCATGAAACCACGTTCACACTGCAAATACATCGTACAAGAGAGACGATGTTCGCTGCAGAAACAATGGCAAAATTATCTGCGAACTTCGAAGTACGTTTGTTTCATACATGTCTACAGACAGCTTTTGTACGATATGTATATTTAAAATTTGAGCGCGGCTTTAGTGTGTGCGGCCGAATACCAATGGGCAAAGAGCGTGCTAAGCATTCACGTGCACATCTAATTCTGCGCCGATTTGTCTTGCAGAAAAAACGCAGGAGGGGGGACGGTACTGCATTTTGTTCGGACCACGGTACATTTAATATAGATGTATATATATTTGCTTTACTTTATTTTATTTTATTTTATTTTTTTTTCAGGTGTGGGGCTTGACTAGACGGGAGTTTCCTTTACCGGCAGCTCCATTTCTGGGAGATGGAGTACCTCCAAACGCGATCTCATTATCGTATAAAGTTAGAGTGCATAGCTTGGCCAGTTGGCTGCCTTGGCACTGGTGTTCTAGTAGTGGTGGCGCCTCGATCAGCTACCAAATTGCCCGTTGTGCCCGTTTCGTGTGTACGGTTTCAAAAATGCCTTTGGAAGAGTATTAAATATAGCGCCCGGTGCCTCTACTCGAAAGCCAGGTTCACACTGCGAGATTCCTGCTTCGAATGCCGTACGGCAACGCGTTCAAGGAGGAAACTTGGCACGCGGCATTTGAATCACGGATATTGCGGTGACTGGCACTTGAAGACTGTCTTTTTGTGTCATGTACGAGCTGTGTGACTGATGACTGATTTTCTGCCGACACGCGTCAATCATGTTCGAACCATGTTTAAGCATCGCACAGGTAACAAACGCGAAATGTGATGAAGCGAGCAACGACGATCAACGGGCATGTACATCTCACAACCTTCGCGCTCACATGCACCTGCAGCTAAACGCAATTGACACCCGATGTCCGTGCTGATAGGGGAGACCCAGCAAATAACACGCCGTCGATAGCAGTTATGTTGTCAGCGTGATCGTGTATAATAAATATACCAACCTCGGTTCTTCCGCCAAGGCACAACCAATATAGCATGCCTGCTATCTCCGCACCTGCCATTCGTGCACCTTTATTTATAGGGTTGCCGGTGTTTAGAAACTCACTTCCGAACGTCAGTTCACCAGGGAGCCATCGGGACACTCGTCAACCTCGCCACATCCGATGCCAAACCAATCGGCGGAAGCGTCGCTTGCGCGAGCATGCGTGGAATGCCGTTTCCAGCGTCGCCCATTGTTTTCACCGCGCCGTCACTAAACGATGCCGGCGGCATATCCGACGTCCACGCTCCTGCGTCCGTCTCTTCGAAAAGCGAAACCGACACCGATCGTGTTTGACGGCGTGCGGCAGCGTATCGCCCCACCGCCGCTGCCGCTGCCGCGAAAACGACGCGCGGTGAGCTATGCCGCGCGCGAACCCCGCGCTGACACCTCTATGCGGGCATCGGCTTCCGAGTCGTTCGTCAGCCGACGCGCTGTCGGTATATCGTCCCCGCGGCGTCATACATCGGCTTGAGTTACGAGCACCGGACTCACCTGTGTAAGCCAACGGTCTCGGAACGGTTTCGTCGGTTGGCGCGGTGTTTTGCTGGGTTCCCGCCTTTGTTCGACGCACAGCCTTTACGGCATGACGTCAGTCGTATTTAGTGGTAGAACGGATCAAACAAGGCGCGTTTACGTCAGTTTGCGGCGCGCACTTGGTTCATACGGTCGACGTGTTTTTGCCGATGACGGGCTGATGTCGAAGAAACCATCGGTGCGGATTTTCGCGTCTTTCAAACTAGAAACTAGATCACAGAGTGGCGTACTTTCTAACTGCGTGATCAACCGACTTTGGGGCAGGATGGAAGTGGAAGACGCGTGCTCTGCAGGACTGATCAATCGCTCGCCTTTCGTCGCCTGACCCGACTCCCTGCGCGTAAGTACGCACAGAGAGCTTGGTCACGTGGTGTGAAAAGCCGACGGTTGACTGGCCCAGCAAGCCCGTAGCGTCCACCGCCCATCAGTGCAGCGCTGAGCGGAGCACACATCCAGTTGTAACCCATACTCCGTGAGGATCCGTTCCTCGTTGTTTACCCGACTAGAATATTTTTTTTCTTCTTGGGGAACCGTTTACTTTCTTTCTTGTTCTTTATGGACTATTTCATAATTGTTTCCTGCGAACTACCATTTTTGTCTACTGGGTCGTGGAACGCCTCCCTACCGTGCGCGGGAGATCTCTTCCGCTCATATCGGGCACTGCGCATGCGCCCACAGTCCAGTGACTCAGCATTTTTCGATTAGGCAATAAGCCGCTGGATCAGTGTGTCTAACGCTGGGGTAATGTCTTCATTTTTCTTATTTTTCGGCTGTGCAGGACCCCTGATCTTACGGAAGTCGGCCGCTGAGGCCCCGCGGGCCTGAGGAGCTCCGCCATGTCCCCAGCGCCGTCGCCGGCCAAGGCCGCGCCCAACGCCAGCGCGGCCAGCGTGGCGCACAACATGATGATGGTGCCCCGCTGCACCATGTCCATCACGCGCACCAAGGGCCTGCTCAACATGCCCGGCCAGAACAACTGCTTCCTCAACAGCGCCGTCCAGGTTCGTCGATCAACCTTCCTCTCTCCCGCATATACAGTGGTGGTCCGCCGTCTCCAATGTGCCACCATACGCACCTCGTTGACAGCTTTAAGAACTACACAACTTTCTCAAACTCTTCCCTTAAGGCTGGTTCGCACACTTGTGTTTGCTTACGACAGAGATCCGGTGATCCCTTTTGACGAGGGTACACGCTCGCTGGCGCCACCTATCAGGTGACCTTGGAACTGGATATCAGTAGACATGGCCTCCCATGTCTAGTGGCCAATCACTAGACATGGCGCGCGCTTCGGGATCTCGGATGCCATACACTAGAGCGCAGGTTTGGCTGTATTTGCGAGATAATTGCCGTATTATTTATAAGAAAACGTCGTAATGACAAAAGCTTTTTTGTTTTGTTTTTCCGAGCAAAAAAAAAAACGAAAAAAAAAAATACCCGGTGCGCACGGTTTTCAGATAGACGGCGCCAGTGTGTCCTCTCGTCTAGAGTTCCTGTATAGCTACCTACGGTAGCAGAGTTGCGCATTCAGCCTCGGCGCTTGGCCGTAGCGCCGGCTTTCCCGCACGAGCTGGTTGCTTTGCTCCTCACGTGACTAAATTTGGCGAATAGCGGCGCCGCGCGCGCCGCCGCGCATGGAAAACAGGAGAGGAGGAAAAGGAGGCGGAAAGCAGGGAAACATACGCCGGGGCAAGAGAAACGTCGGCGGAGCGACCGTAAAGGTGGCTTTCTTGCACGCCAACGGATGCTTTGCTCCTCACGTGATGGATCTCGGCGAATAGCGGCGTGGCGGCGCGGGGAAAACAAATGCGCAACTCTGGCTCCCGTAGGGAGCCTATACAGGAACTCTACTCTCGTCATAAGAGATCACAAGTGGTTTTAAGGCACTCGGTCGTAAGCACTGGCAAGAGTGTGAACCGGCCTTTAAGCTAGTATAACGACTTCAAAGAGGGGGAATTCCCACCTTGCAAACGACATTAGAGTATTCTGAATGTCATGTGTTTGCTTACCCACGTTGTACCTTAACTATGGCTTTCCTGGATTTTGGTATTCAACCGCAAAGCTGCAATAAATCCATACACAGTATTTTTGTTTTTATGAAACAGTGAAAAGTATGTGCATCGAGAATCTTGTCAGTAATTCGGTATTTATTATTATTATTATTACTTCTTTTTTTAGTTGTAATGCTGCTTTTCCGAGGATGGTGTAATCAGAAAGGCTAGAGCCATACAAATATAATTTCGTCTTATATTCACGCCGCCGCCCTATATTTACGTTCCTTTTTTTCGATTTTATTTGCTGGTGTTTTGCCTGTATAGACTATGACGTAAACACACACACACACACACACACACACACACACACACACACACAAAAAAAAAAAAAAAAAAGCCGATTTTATGTTAGAACAATAAACGCCGATTTATTACTCCGAAGCGTGTCTCAAGGGAACGTCGAAACCCCAAAATGTACCGTCTTGCTTTGCTCGCTTAGTGTTCGTGAACAAGTCGAGTCAAAATGTCCACACTTCGTTCCACGGCTTCAGTGCAATGCCGGGAGAACATACACGCGGGGTTGGGATGGGTTCATTTGCCGTTATATTTTTATTACCACATGGACGCTTATGAGGTCACGCGTGTCTTCTTGGTCCTTGCAATTTTGCTGTGTTTATGTCAGTTCACTTCCTGGGGATCAACTGCTGCTCTTTATTAGGCAATAATCTTCGTATGTATCGTTTTTCTCAATTTTAATTCACTGGGGCATTCGGTCGACGTAATAGCGGTGCTTTTTGGTGATGTAGTTTGAAATTGTACGCTCACGGGCACAAAAAAAAGAAAAAAAGACGAAATTAGATTTGGGGACAGGTTTTTTAAACATCTGTACGGCCGATGACTTGCATATCAACAATCCCTTCACCACCAGGCACTCCCTCAACTTTATCTCAAACCGGCAATTCATGATGTCATCAGATTAGCCGCGAATAATCTCCTTCCCCATTTGTGTGGGTAAGCACGTCACCCCGAATCACAACTCGGGTTCAGTGAGCGTCTTGTACACACTGCCGATGTGCGGCAGAAAACTCTAACTTTTGGAACTCTCGTCCAGCCTCTCGACTCCCCTACCGCGCCAAATGAAAGACAACTACAACAACAAAGTCAACGTCTTCCCGCGCGCGCCAAAAGGTGCCCCTCTCTCTCTCTCTCTTCGAGTTACTCCTCGACCAATCACGCTGCAGGAAAACGCCGAAGAGTCCTCCGGGGCCCACGACGCCGTCGAAACCTATCGGAAGGAAACCTGTTTTTTTCCCGCGCGCTCGGGAGACCAAACCAAAACAAAACTCGCACGTGCAAACGGGGAGGCGAACAAATCGAATAAAAAGCAGACAAAAACAAAACAAAAAAGTGGTTGGGGGGGGGGGGGGGGGGCGCAAAAAGAAAAAAACACTAAAGTAACGCAAATGGCGCCAAAGAAAAGAACCAAAAGAAGTTGCACCAGGGACGTGTTGTCAGCGCACATAAATCCTCCTGAGTGAAGATGAGCCCGACAGGGCTACCTGGGACGCACACCTTGCGCAATCCTTCCATCTTCGTTTAGTTTTTTTCCTTCCCCCCTATAATGCCGTTTTTTTTTTATGTTGTTGTTTACGTTCTCTAGTCGGAATTAAGCCCGGCATGACGCTTACATTAAAGGCATACAGCGGACGAGAAGCAAGCGACCACTGCAGCATCGCCGTCATCATTTTTAAATTTGAAGAAATATATATATAATAGAAGAGATGCATCCCCAAGCATGTCGACATTTCTAAATGAGCCTTCTGTCGTACTGTCTGTTTGCCTTTTTCTCGCTTCCTCGTTTGTCGCTTGCTTGGCGGCGCCTGATTTTCGTCTGGCTGGCCGGGTCCGTTCTTCGGGAAATTCGATACGCTGTCGGACCTCTTGGCGATGTCGGATTAACGAACGATTCCGTGGCGGCTGGATGAGTGGACGTAATTAATCATACGAGCTCGGATAAAACGCTTAGTTCCTGCATTTTTTGTTTGTCTGTTTTCGCGTGCGGTGTTACCTGTCCAAATAATGACACATAGTATAGTGCCCACTTCGTGCGTGTAGCAATTTCGGGGCGTTGCTTTCGCACGCAGAAGTTGTCAACTGCTCCATTCCGGTTCTGTCGTCATGAGGCAACGTTCCGGGAAAATTCGATACGTGGAAAGCTGTTCTACGAGCATGGTACAGTAAAGCGCCTACACTGAGCATATATAAAACTCTCTTGGTGAATTAAAATACCAAAACGCCTGTCCGCAGCATCCAATTCTCAGAGTGAGCAAGGTTGAACTACCAAAGAGCTTGAGATTTTTCATATTTGTGTCAAAGCTTCGGCAGTTACAATCATAATAGGCCTCCTGCGCTGCAGCTTTGGACAAACTCTGGCGTCCTCACTTTGGATAGCACAAGCTGACCTAATTGGGCCTCGCGCCACTCATTACACCTTAACTGAGCTTTTTTTTTTAGCAATTACGAACGGTAAAACGTTTTTGGACGTCCGAAATCGGCTAGATTCAACGCCGCAAGACAATCGAAAGTGCCATTTTCGTGCCACCATTGCTAGGGAACGTGTCTCTTATCTGTGGGTGCTGACGCCAAAACATTTCACCTCCCAGCGTTTATTTATTTATTTTTTTTTGGGAGGGGGGGGATGGGGGGGGGGGGGGGGATTAGTGATACGGCGCTTCTGGACTCACGCTTTTAGCGTCTTAGCTTTGACCTATGCTTCGATGGCGTTCGAATGTTAGCCGTTTCTTTATATTTTCCTCCTAATCTCGCGTTCCGCGCCAGAGCAGGCACGCTTCTACATGTGTGGCAGTTTGAGTCACGCAAGTTTGTACTACCCAAAACAAGTCCTAACAAAGTCCCTTTTCGCAGCGCCCCCTGAGCATCGCAGCAGGCCTATACGTTGCACCAGCGTTACCATGCTGGTGCCACACGGGATAGACTAGTGTCATTAGGAAATGATGACAATAACGATGAATAAAGTACTATTAGACACTCAAAAATGCTAAATTAGAAGTATCAACGGAGCAGCAATAGGTATTTAGTACTTTCAATAACGACACGTTTCAAGAGAGTGTTACGTTAAGTTACAATATTAACGCCAATCGGATGATTCTCATTGATCATCACGAGCCAAGAAGATAATAAGATTGAGAAGAAGAAGCAAACTCACCTGAAGGCGAGTGTGTTCTTCAGGAAGAAGCCGTGCGGCACACCACACAGATGACACTAAAGGCGAAGTGCACTCCGTTGAAGTGCACTTAATTTGCTCGTCTGACCAAGGTATTAGTACAACTTTTTCTTTTTTTTGCTGTTTATAATTTTTTTTTATTGTTTCGTCATCTCGCGAGGTCTAACAGAAGATGTTAACCGCACGGCTGAAAAAAATGGCGATGAAGAAACTTTCGAGACAAGCCGTCATCTTGCGCGCAGTTAATGCATCCAGCAGCATCAGCGGCAGCGGAGCCCGGAATGCCGGCGTAACACTTTCCAGCGGTCAGACGTGTCAGGAAGGACTTACTTAGCGCCGGCAAAAGCTGCTGGGATTCTTGGCATCGTACAGTCAAGGGGGTGCTGAAATCTTCATTGATGAGAAAGCCAGGGGCAGCTTAATTAATACCATCTCGTTGCATCGTTGGCGCTCAAGAGAAGTAAGTTCAGAGCCCATGCAAGTGCCAAGAGCGGCGATCAGTGATGCCTACGCGCATACCTGGCGCATCGGTGCTGTCGCTCGCACCTGCCGTCTTTGCCGATGGCAAGGACGTCGCTTCGCGCCGGAGGAACGTCAACGTGAGATGGCGTTGGAGGATGTCAACCCTTGTCGGGGACTCAGACGATGCGGCGTGCACCCTTTCACAATGACAGTATATGTGATATCTGTTTCCGAATTTCATTGAAAAAGGGACAGCGTGACACATATCTCGATCTTGCTGCATTTGGCTGGTTTCCCGACTGCC